TTTCAGCAGGGTGCATGTGCATATGTACTGTTCAGTGCAATTTAAGCATGCTCTTGGAGACTTTGCTGAGCTGGGGCCTGGAACACCAGCTACTCTCAAATCCTTTCAGAAAAAAACTTTCCTTTCTGCTTGCAGAGATGCCAAGGAGCAGAGGTAGAACCTAGACTTAACGTCACATAAATGGACAGTAGTTGGTGTATTTTAATATGCAGAGAAAACACATAAAGCTAGTTTTTAAGCTGCTACTTGTGGCTTGAGTTAAACTAGCTAATTTTAGGTTTAAAACAAATTACCAGTTTGAGAACAACCTACACATTTCTACAGAATAAACCTCATCAGAAAGTATTTTTAAAATACGACTTACATGTTTCGGATGTCATGGAAACTGAGAGGAAGGTAGATAGGAAGATCAAATGTACATGCCCCATCATAGTTCTAAACCAAAAAGAAAAACATTGATATCTCAGAATATACTCTGACTGCATCAGTTATGCTATTGCCATGGTACTGATGTACATCTACTAACAGATAACAGTATCATGCAGTGATAAACTGCATCATGCGAGCTGCTCTTTACAAAGTGTGTGTGTGTGTGTGTGTGTGTGTCGAAATGGTTTCGCAGCTTCGAGGTGATGCTTTTTGTCCTACAATCAGTGCAATATTTGATGTTCCACTGAAACTACTGTTATGACTTAATTTAATGGGGGTGGGGGAATTACGCTGCCTTGGTGGGCCACAGACAGAAGTCTCTTCTTGCTTGGTTGGGTTTTTTTTTAAGGAAGCTAAATGTACATTGGCATTTTCTTCATAGTCAAGTGTGGAAAAATTATACCTCAATTTAGAAAAGGGTAGATCCTAGATTTGAAAATATATACCCTGGCTTTGGATTAAGCTTACATCCGATCAACATATTTTTGGCTTTCTATGGAAATGGAGGTATCTTCAGTGACACCTTCTCTAGGTAAGCATTTAGCAGTAAGAACAAACCAGGTGAGTGCCATCAGCAATGCTAACCTGAAGGGGAACTGAAGAAATGTAGGTAAAGGAACATATATTATACTTGTGTAACAGCAGTAGGGCAGATCCCGTGCCTCACTGATGTTTTCATTTGTGTCTAATTGATATGCACCTGCTGTAATTCACACCTCACGGACTGGCTTAGGCACTCTCCAGCAAACCCCTTTATTAAAGAAACTGGCTATTTGTCTGTGGACATTAAGTTGACCTAATCTAGGAATATCTCAGGAGACAGCAGACGTGCAATCCAGCTATACTATGCGGCTGTAAGCATTCCACTTACCATTAATAAACCCTTCGCTTGAATGCTGTCCTTCACTGCAGATCAGAGAGCGGTGGGTTCTACTATTGTATGAGGAAGAAGCGGTCCCATGGTACTACAGAAAGAAGACATGTTTTCAAGAGAAACCATTATCTTGCAGATAGTGAGCACAAAAGGAGTAGTGAAAAATAGGCAAGAAATGCACAGGGGGTGTAAGTACTGTCGTCACACTTACTGCATGGAATTTTTATTTCAGTGCCAAAGATTTCCAGACTAAACAAACATTGGCAGACCTTATTACAACCTACGTTTGCGCCAAGTCTGAAATTTAGAACAACCCCAATTTTGAGCTTCCAGAAATGTCATCAGCTTTGTATTGATATGGAAAGTTTCTTCTTTTAGAAGGTTTAATAACATCCAGAGGCTTATTCTTAAACTCCTAAAAATAATAACAAAACTTAGTGTTGGAAGAGAAAAGCATGAGAATTTCAGTGTAGGTATTTTGCAGATATACTCACAAGTCACAGAAAAGGTGAGGTTTAGACCAAAAAAGCAGCATCCCATCATTAATGTCACAGCAAGGCTGGTGCCATGCATTTTACAGGAAGCAAGTGACTAGCCAGGAGCTTCTAGAAACAATGTTCATGAGGAGCTGCTCGCTTTCATGGGAGCTGGAGAAAAGCATCACGTACAAGCATATGCAGTCTATTGACTTTAATTTTAAGGAAATCTTAGGCCATGTTAATAGAATTTTAGGAGGTACTTTTCAGCACAATAAGCATCAGGAGTTTTGCCCTGGAAGGAATCAATGAGCTGGCCCAGAAGAGGGTTCAAGAGTGAAGAAAGATAAAGAGCAAGACAGCACACAACAAAATTCACAGCATCAACACAGTAAAGCATTTGTTCATCCTTTAGAGCAGAAGGCTTGTTCCTAGAACTTATTTCTGACACTACCAGGGAGAAAACTAGATTGGCAGGTGGGAATGGGGAGATGATTTTCACATATCCCGATTCTTAGAGGCCTGGATCCAGTTCAGGACTGAAACAGATTTGTATTTGCCAGCAACTCTGTTGACTTCATTCATCAGCTAAGGTCTACTTTGATCACAGTTGAAAAATTGTATGGGCACTCATGGCTCCATATTCTCCTGAGAAAGAAAAGGAAGTTGCAAATGCCCTGCACATATTTGGAAACCAGGACACTATTCAGCTGATATGATCAACATTTGATAGACATATGGTGTCTGTCTCCTGATCAGCACATCAGGAGCAAGTGACTGAAAGCTTCTCTGGCATACTGCAGTGAGCACCTCATTTCCACAACCCATGAGATATCTACCCATTCCATTTCTGTCTCTCTGGGTAAAACTGAGACATTGCCATCTAGCTCCAATCTTTCTGAGAACTGATTTTCCTTGACTTAGTTTCACTAAGCCTTGTGATCTGCCTTGTGATCTACAGATTTGCTCTAAAACACCACTTCATTCTCTGCACTAATTCCCACTCTAGTAAACTGTCTTTCACTGCCTGTTACTGCACCTAATCTTGCTGGTTCAAATCAGCTCTGGTTAGCCTATGTCTCACTTGTTTTTTCTCACATAAATGACTTTTTTCACTTGCAGCTCACAAGAACAATTACTGATCATTCCCAGTAATTCACCATCTCCAGACAGCTGTGACTTTGCTACTTAGCATTGGCTTATGCAGAGGAGTCCTTTTCTTCCTAAGAGGTCCTTCTGCCCAGCCAGATGGCCAGTTTTGCAAACTATCTGTGGTACCCACATACATTCAGAATGGCTTGCTTGTTCTGGAGAAGGACTGACTGGCACGTCTGGGACTGAAGCAGGGTATATAAATAATAAGAACTAGCGGTGTAGCAAGGGAAGGTGAATCCATCCAAAGAATATTTATGCAGCCTTCCAGAGCACTGTGCCATCAGATGCTGAGTGCCTACAGCATGCAAAATACATGTATGTGTAGACACATAAGCAAACGTGATATGCAAAACACTAGCTGCAACAGGGTTAGTTCATACAATTGAGTTTGGAAATACCTATATCAACTGAGTCTCCATGGTGAAACCTCCAAACAGACCCTCGGAATCAGCTAAGTGAAGAACTCTAAGCTGAATAATAAATAAAATTTAATATTATTATTTGAGTAATTGAATAGACATAAAAAAAAAAAAAAATCAGAGTATTCCTTCTCTGCTGGGATCCTTTTCCCTCCAAGTGTTCGGTTCTGTTTCACTAATGTATTTGCCCCCAACAAGGTATACCAGCAGTTATACTAACTGCCCTACTACTTGTTAGAGCTATTTTGTTTAAGCAAGCAGATGCTTCAGCATGAAGTCAAAAAGTGAAGTGATGGATTTTTAAGGAAAATCAGTTTCATAGACTAGATCTGAAGACTGTCTGAAATAAGGTTCTTTCTCATTTGATATTTTATTTGCATGTGTCTATTTTGTATTTGGCCACAATTGATACTACTATTGGAGATACTGGTGAGTCCCTTATTGCCAGTGCTATTGCATCCCTAGAAATGGAAGGCTGGAGATTAATAAAAAGTTGCAAGGAGCTGTGCGTTCTCTGTTTTTGAGATATGGCTTTGTCCAGGAATGGAGACAGCCAACTACTTGTCCTCACTAACTCTTCTAACAAATGCCAGAATGATCCAGGAGTAAGAAATTTGTATTTACCTATCATCATAATTGCCAGTTGTTGTATTTAGCCTTCTGTTTCTTAAAAAAGTATGTCTTTGAGAGACCTTACACATACTGGGCTACCAGCCTGCACCAAAACAGTGCAAAATAGTTGTGCTGAAAGGACAGATTCTCCCTGCTTAACTTTGATGATTGTTTTATTGATTTTCCCCTCATTTTTCAGTTGCTGTGTATTGACAGCAGTTTAAGTAGAGTTTGGGGTTTGTGTGTGTGAATACGTGCAATAGATGGGGCTCTAATTAGAGGAATGTTCCCTGAAAATACAAAGAGCTCGGGCAATTAAAAGAACAATGTGATTCTGTTTGCATTTTCCAAAGTCAGCAGCAAAGTGCCAAATTGCCTCAATAAAAACTGAGGCAGAGGTTGCAGTCCTAGATAGCAAATAGCAAGCAAAGGACTGGTTCACTAGTGCCTTACAGCTTGTGGCATTACTCTGAGCAAAGCAAAATGAAAGCATCCACACATCCGTCATTCACCTTTTGATAGTTATTTTCATTCTTTTATCAAACCAGAAAAAACATTTTGACTGAAAATGGGCTATTAAAATAACAACAGTAATACTGAACTTATTCCAGAACTAGCACTCACAATACTTAACAGCTACAGTAGTTACAGCTGTAAGTCTAAAATTTAGGAATTTCAATATTAAAGCATGGAAATGCTAGAATTGATATACACATTATTCTTACAAAACATTTTGAAGAAAGAATGCACATAAATGTACTAACTCTGAAAAATCTATTGCACAGTAAATACTTTCTGTGTCTTTGAATAATTAGTAAAAATATCTGCCAGAAAACTGAGGGCAAATACAATTCATTATAAGGTAAATTTTTATGTTGGTCCCAAAATTCTTTGTCTATCACATAAGCATATCCACTATTTTAATCTAATATTTTTCTTGAGATAAAGAAGCACAAAAGTGAACTGAAATAAACTTTCTTATAAAATACATCAGTTATTTTTGGTTAAACGATAATATTAAAATTTGACCTACCATTTGGAAAATTCAGAAAGCAGAGAAGTGGCTTGCTCTCTGTGGCTCAGTCCTTTGCACTGATTTCCCTGCTGTAGCTTGTACCAGATATTACTGGGAACTCTTTAACTGGCTTGTGCAATTCATATCTGTAGGAGCAAGATATACAGCTTCATTTTGAGACACCTCCCACTGAACAGAGAAGAACATGCAAATTACTGTAGTAACCTTAAGTACCTATCAGAGGTGACATCTCATAGTTCCAATTAATCAGATATCTTTCACTGATAGCATAGGTTTTCCATACAAATTATTCCATTTTACATAATTATACTGCAATAAATCTGTTGGCTGATTATTGGCTTTCTCACACACTTGGGGAAAACAAAGAAGGGACACTCAGCCAGCAAAGGGTGCTTAGAAACAGATTTTGTTTGAAAACAAGTGACAGCTT